GGGGGAAGGGACGGTGTCTGGGGCGGGGGGTGGGGGGGAGCCCGCTGCCTCTGAGGGAGCTCATCTCCGTGCCAGGTGCGAGGCTTAAAAACTTGCGGACAAGTGTTTCCCCCGGCCCTCACAGCACCCCGGCGGGCAGCGGGTGGCCTGGCCTGCCCCGGCCCGCGCGGTGCTTATCTCTCTGCCAAAGGCCTCGGGGGAGGAGGGCTGCGAGGCCTGGCAAGTGCCACTTGCACGTCTCGAAGGTTCCCTTGTGCCTATAAGCGAGCAGTGGGGTGGGAGAAGAAACCTATCCTGTTTGCAGAAAAACAAAAACTCATCACAAACGTAGTTATTAATTTTTTTAATTGTTGACCCTGAAGGGCTACATCCTTTGTGATGTATGCTGCAGAAACAGGCAGTAAGGTGCAGTTGTTTTTCTGAAGTTACTATATTTTGTCTGAAACAAGAATCAACAAGTGTGGTTATAACCTGTGAGCAAGAAACATATACATAGTTCTAGTACAGTGTAATTTACTGTTTTATGTAATTCCAGATATTAGCATAATGATTCTAAATAGCGTATTATTTTTCTTATGGGATTGAGGAAAGGAGAAATCGAGCAACCGAAAGAGGAAAGATGGGAGGAATGCATATGCACAGAAGAGGGAAAAGCAAGTTTTGTTAGCAGGCCATAGAGATGGAGGTAGAAAGACTGGTAGCGGAGCGATTGTTGATGAAAGCAAGACGGCCTAAGCAGGCAACAGGGAAGCCTTCCGTTTTCTTCATGAAATGTTAAGTGTCTTGTGGCTTCCAAATGTAAACAGTATGTTAACTTTCTTAAAAGAAGCTGATAGTTTGGAAAATTTCAGGTCACTGTGTAAAATATTGAGAATGTTTCATATGAAATAGAAGAGAAATATCACAAAATATTATCCTTCTAAGTAGTGATAAAAAGAATGCTGTGTTTTATTTTGTTTTTCCCCATTATATGCCTCCAAAGATTAAAAACGGTGAAACTTCTCAAAATTACGTATCTTATTGTTAGTGTAAACCTCAAATCATTCTTGTGAAAAGCTTTCTCAGTTAAAACTGGTCCTGAGATTATTCTATGTATATTATGAAAGCTTGCGTTAGTTGAAGTGTTGTGTATTCCAATTGATAACTTCTAGTGAATTTCATTTTTATTAATGGTTACGGGGAGGCTTTTTTATGTTAATGGTAAAAGTTATAGCCGTAACTGCTGAGCAAGAAGTCTGAGATCTCATTGTATTATGTATACAGGCACTTGCAGGTGGGAACCCGGATCTTAAATCTGCTTTCCTCTTCTGTGGATGAAGAAGAAGAGGGAGGAGGAAAAGCTTAGCGTTCAGCTTTCTTAAATAGTAAACTCCTTTCCTTCCCCACTTGTACTACTACCACCACTTCTTTTTCCTGTGGGTGTTTTCATGGCTTTCTTACATTTTTGTTAATTAAAGAGCCTTCTCAGAAGAGTTGTATTTCCCAACATGCAATATATGTTTTAGAAAAAGTTTGATAGTTTTGCTAGGCATGTGAATTTGCCTTGCATAAATATAACTTTACTTTTGCTGGTATAGTTCATAGCACTTTCAGAGAATGATGTATGCTGTACTGGCAGAAGTCTTTTATCTCAGTACTAGTGTGCATGCAGTAAGAACACCACTGCCTAAGACATGCCTAAGGTATATCTGTACTCTGAGACTCAAAGTTTTCATTGTAGACCTGACCTGTCATTTGTCTTTAAATTTTATTGTTTTGTGCTCACGTAAAATAATTTAGTTCCAGTGGTTTTAAAAACTTTTCAGCAACACAAAAGATGGAAACTTGATGTTTTTCTCTATCTGTCATCAGATATTAATGGTTTTGTTTGTCCAAATACGCAGCCCAGAGGAATTCAGTACAGAGAAAATAACTGAAATCTTATTATCTATTGGAATATTAGTTTAACAGCTATGAAGGTCTGTTAAATCTCTGACTACTCATTGGAGCCGCTGTCTTTTCTTGTCCTTATACAGGAGTTATTTCAGAAGCTGTCCTTTAAGAGAGATCCTTTTGAGAGAAATGTGGTATTAAAGAAACAAAGGAAAATATTCTTTCAAGGTGTAATGCTTGATTTAGAAACTCAAGGATTTTAGCTCCCTAAAAACATTAAGACCGTAAAGAAGTTGGTAGATTCTGATCTTCTGCAGAATGAAATTTTTTATTTTGGGTGTTAAAGCTCCTCTGAAGCTGAATGTTTTTCCTTTATGAGTACATATGACAACTTAGAAATAGATTGCATTTTGGATACGTCCTGAGCACGCTGATTCTTCTGATAATGACTTTGATGCTGCCATCATTTGACAGTTCATGTGATTCTCCACCTTGACAATTAATTAATGAAGTTGACTTCTGAAAAGGGCAAGCATATCAGTAAATGGCAGCAATGGGATTGTAAGAATTGCCACCTCTCATGATAAATGGCTCCAAATCTCATTTCTGGCTGACCAATTCATTTGCATTAGAGCCTTGTTAAATGCAGTTCATGTCAGCATCTTTCTGACTGTGTATGTTGCTCTGTACTGATGTGGGTTTTTTTCCTCTGCTAAATATTACTGGAGAATGTTGTTTGAAATTTTGAATTGGATATACTGTATTGTTGTGCTTTCTTAGATAGTCAGCAATTTTAGAAAAGTCAGATGTACTTATTACAAATTGTCCTGGTGCTAATTTTTAAGAGGATCATCAGCATAATCAGTTAAAATTCCGTTCTTTCTCAAATACTTATAACACTTTCTTGTATAGGTCAAGTGTAGAGGAATTCCAAAGCTTGTCTAAAAAAGTCTCTCAAATGCAGAGATGGTACCAGCAATTGATGAGTAGTATGTGATGGGAAGACCAAAAAGTTACTAGCAATTTTCTGCCAAAATGTATGGGAGCTGTATATCTGATAGCAAAAGAATAATAGAAAATTCCAGCAAAGGTAGCAGATATGTCCTTAGCTGAAGAATGATGATTCTTATAAAATTTAATTTAAAAAAAATCCTTCGATATTTTTATTTTACGAAACTGTTTTGTATACAAATGTAACTTACTGCAAAAAAGGAGAGTTGACATACCATGAAGATGAAAAATAGCCTGGGGTTTTGGTTTTATTTTTCCCTTTTCGTATATGGACATGCTTCAGTACAATATCCTGACTTGTCTCAAGAGTTCTAGTCTCCTGCAACTCAGAGTAATTATGAGTTTTGATATTCGGTTTCTCTACGTTTGTCTGTTGTGACCTTGTCTGTTTATTGTTTTCTTAAAACAAAAATTAAATTTGTATTAAGTTTCTTTGATCTGAATCTTAAAGCTACCCTGCATGTTGTTGACTCTTAGTGTCTTCAGCAAGCCCTGGGCAGGATTGTTAGGGGTAGAAGAGTAAATAAGGATACTGCAATTCTACATAGCTTGATAGCTAGCTGTTATGCCACGCAACAATGTTTGGTACAGAGACAAAATGCATATTGGCCATTTTATGTTTTTGTGTAGCTGGTTGTCCAGTGGAGAACACCTAAAAACATGGATAGATGTGGACTGGATGCTTTGTATTCTCCTCTCATTGATGGCCATGTGATGACAGGCAAACTTACAAAATCTTGGCCCCATTTTCTGTAGCTGATGCGTGCCGTAAGCTTTTACAGGACATGGGTCTATCAGTTATTCCCTCATTTACCATAGTCGCTTACGGGTTGTTTAAAATTTTTATTAAGATGGGTTTTATATTGTATTTTCCCCTCTATGTATAGCCCAAAGAACAGTGCTCGCGCTCCTTCTCACTCGCGCTCCTTCTCGCTCACTTTTTTTTTAAATCAACGTCTGTTCATGTTTAGCAGTAAAGCAGAGATCTCAAAATTATGTTTCTAAGCCATTGTGAAAATAACTTCTGAGGTGGAGAAATGGAACTCAATTTAGTGCCTGTCTGAGGATGAAGGTAAAGTGTAAGTACAGCCATGTTATGAGACATCAGAGAATCTATATGAGAAAAGATTATAGAAAATCATGTTTCATAGTCTGATTGTTCACGGAGCTACTTGATTTTTCCTGTGCTTTTAGCTTATGGTCATCAAGGTTGGCTGTGAAGAGAGCAAAAATCGTGGTTCTGAGGAAACTGCTTTCCTCTAGACTCATTATTGATGGTTACCCTACTCTTTGCGGAATTGACGTGAGAGATGCAGCATAGCTTTTGCTGAACGAAACTCTATCTGTTTAACAAAAGAATACAGAATTAGAGAGTAAATGGAAATGCAGCTCTATCAGTTGGTTTAATAAAAGATATCACATCTCTTTAAGGGGGGTGTAACTAAACTAGCTTTCACACAAGTGTGTAAATGTGTTAAATATTTTGTGAGTGACAAGACTTCTATATTGTCAGGCATTTTAGGTGGGAAGTGAACTAGAAATATAATATTTGATTGCACTGAAAAAGTAAATGCCTATTTCAATTTGTGGTTTCGATACTAAATGATAATGTGAACACACGCTGTGTTAACTGTTTTGGAGTACCTAAAAGCAGTTACGCTGTTTCCTGCAAACAGTACTTTTATTGTTGTTTTGGGGTAACAGATAGAGAGGGAATGGGTGAACTGCACTGAAATTGCTTCAGGTAAACGTAAAGGTCAGTGTAGGCAAACTGTATTTTTTTTACAGTAAAATAGTATCTTCTCCTAGCAAAGACATTACAGTTTATTGCTAGCTGTGGGCTGTTGCTGTAACAGCATTTTCATAGCCTTATGTGAGTCATGTTAAATTGTGGCTTAACATTTTATGTATCTTAATATGTTGTCCTACGTTCCTTATTACAAGCTTTAAAATTTCTCATCTTACTGAATACAGTCAGTACTTGCTGATTACATCTTTAACACTTTTTGTCTGGCTTCCATTATTGTAGTTATTTTTCAACCAATTTCCCGCACAGATATTTTTACTAAAGTAACATCTGCAGAAACAATTAAAATAAACTTCATAAGTTTGGAATAAAAGCTTGACAGTTGGTTGTGAACAACATAATAAGTTGTGAAAACTGAAATTGTCTGATGAATAATGCCATAATAAAGCGCTCCTGAATTTTAAAAATAAATATTCAGACTAACTGTGCTTCCTGGTTAATGTTGCCATTTTTTCTTTAACCATAGCAGGAGAAATGAAAGATCCAATAAAATTACGCAAAAGTGATTTCTTGGGTTTTCCGTCGTATAGGTTTAATGCTGATCACTGGCACGTTGAAAGAGCAGTGAGAGTAAAAAAGTGCAGTGTGTTGTGTATTCTGAGCCTGTTACGAAGGAGCTTCTGATGTCCCAACTGATGAAGTAATTCTCATAATCATACTAAGGAAATATGCTAAAGTAATTATAAAATGAGTTTGATCTCTGAGACGTAATGCAGTTAGGGTACAGCTCTATTATACATGAGATCATGGCTGCAATTTGTAGGGTAAACAAGGTCATTGCCCTATTACAGCTCTTATTCAATTCAGGTGTTGCAGCTTTGATCAATGAAGAGACTTAATATTCAGTAGAAAAGATTAATTGTAGGAGTGCATAAGATTTAAAGTGGCTGTCTGATAGGAACTAAGTGCCTTACTGCCCAGGACCTTTTAAGAATCATACTATCCCCTTACTTCCAAAACACTTAAGGATGTTCAACTCCTCCTAAGTTTCATCTTTTGAACTGGCACCATTTGTATTGCTAGTGTTTATTGGGAAATCCAAGACAAGGTTAGAGCAGATGTATGAATGCTAAGTGTAATATTCAGTAATATTCTATTTGGTCTTGCAGTATTTCATAGAACTAGAGTAACTTTACTACAGTACTTATGTTGTTATCTGAAATAAATTGGTTTGCCCACCACAAACTAATTGCTACATTGATTTTTTTGGTGATATAGTTATCCATATGGATTAGGGACTGAGTTGAACAAATTCATCATAAACTGTGGCCTAAGACATTAGTATCCCTTTTTCCCCCTCTTCTTTTACTTTTTTCTACTGCCCCTGCTGCAGAACGGGCAGAAAGAGATTAAATACTCACTTCTTCCAGTTCATTCTGGCATGTTAGCAGAAGCCTGTCCTTTTTGAGATGAGTAGGTTTATGCTCACTAGTTGAGTTGTTGGTGCATTTCCACTTCTTTCAGCTCTGTTATGTATGTAAAAACCTCTGGCTGGAGAGAGTAATTCCTTGAACTAACCCAAATAAATCCAGTGGAGCTCATCTATCTGAGCCCGACACTCCTGTTACACCAGTGCAGAAGTAGTAGAAAGCCCCTTATATCTCAAGAGCATCGCTTCTGGTATGTGTACCTGAAAAGATAGCTGTGGGCATTAAAAATGACACTAAAGAGGCTAGTGCCTTCGCTACAGTGCAGTTATTCTAACTGCAAAGAAACATGTGCTGAGGTATTTGACTTTGCAAACTGTTTAAGCCTCATGTATAGAAGACTTGCACAAATATACACAGGCTTGTCTCTACTAATGGTTAAAACTCCTGGGTACACAAGCAAAAAAAAAAAAAAAAAAACCTGCAATGACTGAAGCTTTGAGAACTAAAAATAAGAACTGGTTTTAAATTGTTATAGCGCCACGTGCCTCTGAAAGTATGGTCTAGATTAATTGGCTGTTATGTCTCTTTCTCTCTGAATTTTCTGCTAATCACTGCTTAGTTTGGAATGCTTTTCCTGTTATGTTGCATATCTTACTTCTAAGAAATATTTTTTGTGATTATGAAGGTTTTGATTCCTGAGAACCAAATGGATTAAGGAGAACTGTGCTATTTTTCCAGAGCTGTGTGTCACCCCTTAAAAAGATTATATGAAGATTCTGCTGTACTAAGAACCAAATAAAGTGTCAGATTAAGAGGGAGTTATTACTATTGGACTAGAGATTGGAACAAGCTAGAAACAGAAGAAATAGAAATAAATGCAAGTGACACAGTAGTTTAAGGACCTCAAAGTGCGCTTGAATTTCTGTCACATTCTGTTCTTTTGGTGATCCATATCATGCAACTGAAACGTTTAAAATAAATGTTTCTGGAAGCCTTTTAAAAGGAGAATATAGCATTTCTTAAGGTAAGATTGAGTTTCTTCTTAAATAAACATGCTCTTCAGTTCCTCCATTAATATTTAAAACTTGTGTGCTCTGTGTTCATGGCTGTCTATTCAGGCATCCCATCTAAGCGCCTTTAACATTGGAGTATGTGGTGAGAGTGTGGCATCCATAATTTCTCTCTGTCTATAGCTCCACTAATATGGGTAGAAAATTATTCATTGATGCCTCCTTCAACATTTATTGGAAAACAATGTGAATAGTCTTGCTTTTAAACGTACCTCTACATAATTTACTCACTCCTCCATATTTATCAGTGGGCATAATGTAGTAATGATCATGAGCGTTCCTCTCAACTTTACCTAGAAGAAAGAGGACTTGTAATACTTTGACTTTGATGTGAGAATCTGATCAGCATGTTTACTCCTTCTCTGAAGGTTATAAGCCTTCTCTGTAGAGTTCACCAGTAATCTGTTAATGTCTTTTCTTTTTTCATAATTGTGTTCTTGTAACACATAGGTGAACTTTCTGAAGCATATTGAGTTGACGACATGCTAAATACTAGTGACATTTGAGGAGGGAGGAGAGAAACATTTGAAAAGATAGGTCCTTAATCAGATATTGTGAGTTTAGGTTTTTTTGGTTTTGTTCTTTGGATTTGGGGGGGGAGGGGGTGGTTGTTTTGTTTTTCTCCCCTCTCGTTACACAAGTGTGTTATTTGGTAGGAGTGAGTGTCTGGATGTGGTGGGAAACATCACATTTCCTCCTCTGGAATTACCTGTAGCAGGACATTCTCTCAGTATCACTCCACTGAATCATTATTTTAAAAAAAACAAATAGATATCAGCCATTTGGAAAGACAAAATTAGTCACTATAAAAAAAAAAAGTCTTATATAATTAAAGAATTGCTGTTTTAACTCTATCCTGGCATTTAGAGATAAGAGATAATTATCCTTAAAAGTCTTTTATCCTAGTGACAACTCTTAAACAGAACTCCATAATATACCATCAAGGAGGAATATTATGTATTCAGCTTCCTATTCATAAATTAGTGTGCTCCCTGCCTACGCTTATATTGAATGTTCTTAGTCTGTTACTGCAGTTACCACACTGAATCTCTGAAAAACATAAAAATGTGATGAGATAAAATAAAATCAAACGATAGAAGTAGGGTCAAAAGCAAATGAGAAAAAGATGCTACTCTTATTTCCCAGACAGAAATTAGGCATGATGCCTTTTAAAAGTCATGTATACTAGTATAGATTGTGAATTATGTAGGAATGGCTGACAAGTTTTATCTCGCAGTAAAAGCACAATATTTTTTATAGGGTGGGTGTTGAGACTACCTTGCAGTGACTCAGGTAATTTTGGCAGATAAGTGTTGTAGAATTGATGCATTAACACATCTCTGATTTACTATTTTTTATTTTGTTTTTTATTTTCCTGGAAAATACAGGCATTTCAGTAGGACTATGGAGGAGCTAGTCCATGATCTGGTCTCGGCACTGGAAGAAAGTTCAGAGCAAGCCAGAGGAGGTTTTGCTGATACTGGAGATCATTCTCGAAGTGTGTCTTGCCTTCTAAAGCGACAGGCAAGAAAAAGGAGGGGACGAAAGAGACGTTCATTTACCACCCATC